TTTCACTTCACAGTTCGATTCAACTTCTCATTCTGTAGCACATATTATTTATCAGATACGTTGACGAGTGTTGACAGCTGAAATCAACAGTACAACAATCGAATTGAATTGCTCAACAACGTTCGACAGTCAAATAATCATTTATAGAGTGTATTTGATGGAATGAGAATTTGACTTTAATTGTTGAGTGAAATGAATGAGAAATTAGCAGAAGAGAACACTTTTGATGATAAAAGCTATGAGAGTGATTATAGCAGCGAAACACAACACTTTTGATGATAAAAGCTATGAGAGCGATTGTAACAGCAAGGCAAAGAATGAAAAGAACACTTTTTGGCTGATAAAAGTTATAAGAGCGATTACAACAGCAAGGAAAAGAATGAAAACCCTATCAGGTCCGAAGAATTTGACTTTAACTGTTGAGTGAAATGAATGAGAAATTAGCACAAGAGAACACTTTTGGTGTTATGAGAGCGATTTAACAGCAAGGAAAAGAATGAAAACCCTAATAAAACAAATGAAAACTGTGTCAGGCCCGGACGAGCTAATGATACTCAAAAAAAAAGGAGAAGATTGTTACCATCAAGTAACCGCATTTACATATCCGAGTTAAAAAATACTATCACAATGGCGATCCATCATTATATAGCAACCGCACTGAATACTAATTTCCCGACCCCCTCCATTACCCCTTGACACCTCCAAATTACCAAAAATGGGTAATTTCACCTTTATGCGAACCACTGATATAGATAAACAGCAAGAAGCCATCGATCACAAAATCGAATTTGCTTACACTGATGATTTGAGAAATCGCTCGGAAACAAAGGAAATGTACTCAGTATTTTTTGCGGGACAATTCTGTTAGATATGTATTATGATGAGATGATGATGAAACATTTAAGAGACTCCACTTCAATTTGCGTTAGATGCTGATTGAATCATACATTTGAGTAGAACTAAAAGAATTAAAACATCTTCTATGCCGTTAAAAAAGCAATATTTCATTATTGTATTGACGGAAATTTACTTCAGGTCAATGATTTCATCAGTGATATGAAGACGAGATGCAATTCAATCCATCTGGATAATCTTTTGACTGATCTTGGTGAGCGTGAGGCGAGATCATTTACTTTGTGAGTTGCTTATCTTCATCCTCAGTTCCATTACAAATTGTCCTTATTGTTCACCATTCTACGTGTGATTATCATCATTCTAATCACCATCGGTTCTTCAAATCCTCAGTTACGTGCTGCTTATCAGGGAATATGCGACTCAAGTGAAGACTGATTATATGTTGATGATTGACGCTGATGTGCACTTAGTAAATGCGGATACGCTGCGAATTCTCGTCGAAACTGCTTATAATCTCAAAATGTAGGTCACATTTTCATTATTTCCAATGTATCATCAATTATAATATTTACATTTCGTAAAAAAAAATTCAAAGCAATGCAGTTCATTTTTATGGAATCTCTCATCGCCTATTTCAGTGGTATACTGTCACCGTTGGTTGTTCAACAGGATAAATTCTTCTCGAATTTCTGGGGAGCCATCTCCGAGAATGGTTATTATGCACGATCGCACGACTATATTGAAATTGTGAAACAGCAAAGAACGGGCATCTGGAATGTGCCGTTTATAAATTCTGTTTATCTGATCGCAAACTGGAAGGTATTTTCGTTGCTTTTGCCAATTCACCAGATTTTTGCGCAATTTTTTTCTCGTCTACACTTGATTTGTTCCTGTTGTAATACGATCTCAGTGAATATTATTCACATTTAGCAATGTGAATCTCGTTCACGTACGTTTCAGTTGTTAACTTGCTCTATTTGCGGATCTTCAAGTTTCTTTTTAGTTGATTTCAGAAATCTATTTTTCGAAGCATCATCTTTATTCTTTCAGTTTGATCACCTCAAGGAGGCATACTCGGCTAATCCGAAACTGGATCCTGATATGGCTTTCTGTGATTTTGCACGATCATCGGTAGGTTTTCCGGTGTGGCGATGCTAAATCGCTTGCAAGCGATTTGCCTTTCGACTTTATTTCATCAGTCATAATAATTCATCAGTGCCTCTCTTTCGAAATGATTTTCTCGGGGAATTTGATCAGTTTAAATTGCATAACACAGAAATCTGTTCACGTCTTACAGATGAATTCTTTAGCAATACGCGAATAACTTTCTGAATTTCGGTCAAATCAGTTCATTACTGTATCACAAAAGAACAGCAGTCTAGACTTTGGTGGATTTCAGGGACATTTTATGTATGTGGATAATCGTCAATACTTTGGCTTTCTGGTTATCAGTGATGATTTCGATCCAACAAAATTACATCCTGAAATGTATCAGATCTTTGATAATCGCTACGTAAGTTGTTTGATTCTTTCGTCTGAAGTTTTCACCAGCTCATGCATTAGTGCCTGATCAAAATGGATCGATTCATTTGGAAATTAAATCTGAAGATTTTGATCAAGCATATGATCAAAATTTACAATGATATACTACCAAATGGAATTGTTAATTTGGCGGTATTCAATAGAAGCACATGCTACTCGACTTTTTGCTTGAGATAGCTCTCCAGCTGCGATTGAACGTTTCTGAGATTTTCTCCGAAATCAGCAAAAACTTATTCTTTTCCGTCTAATTTATGGATTATTCAACTGTTACAGTTGTGGGAATCGCGCTACATTCCCAAGGAATACTTCAATGTGTTAGCACCGGAGGCTCCAGTCAATCAGCCGTGTCAGGATGTTTATGACTTCCCACTGATGTCCGAAATGTTTTGTAAGGAACTAATTGAAGAAATGGAGAATTTTGGTGAATGGTCTTCTGGTAAAAATCAGGTGTGTAAATGCTTACAAATAGTTGAAAACTATACCAGTTGCTGTATAGATCTTTGTGATAACGTGATGGACGTTTCTTGTAGGTAATGAGATAGTTCTGAAATAAAATCATAAATGTTATTTTTGCTTATTGATCGTGAGCGGAAGGAAATATGCATTTGTTTTATATAATGGTTCAGTAGATTTCCAGCGGTGTCTGATGTTTTTTGTTCAAACGAGCTAGCATCTCCTCAAGAAAATATCATCGTTAATTCACAGATCATGAACGCCGAATTTTCGGAAAAAATTCCGAATGAACAACGAAACTTTCAGGACGGACGCTTAGCCGGAGGCTATGAGAATGTTCCAA